TGATCAGCTCTCTACCTGTCGATTAGTTTACTCAGACAAGAGATTTGCAAACATGCTATGTTGAAGTGCTGGCTTCTCTGACAACAATGCAGCAGCCAGTATGTCCTCCTTCTAACTTTAGATTCTGCTCCTGAATGCTCTGGATTTGTTTGGACCAGAGAAGGTAGGCGCTTTTAAGACACCGCCCCACACGGCCGTTTTGGACGCCCCTCGGTTTAAGGTGGCGATATCGAAGCAGATATTTTACAGTTCAGGGTGTCATTACCCTGACGGTGCGGCCTAGATAAGAATGTGCCCGGGTGGTGTGTCTCTGGGAGAGTGTGAGGCGATTGTTAGCCAGTAATCCCTTTTCACAATGAAACTAACTGTGCCATTCAAGTGTCAATGACGAGTGCTTTGACAGAGGAATCTGAGCGCAGATGTTATCACAGTTACACACACACACAAGCTCACATTTTTTCTGACAAACAGTCCAAAACCAAAATCGAATTTCATTAACAGCCATATAGAACTAGAACTTCATTATTTTGGTCAACAGATTAACGACAGGTCAACAAAAGTCAGAAGATTTGTGCATGAATGTCTTGTTTCCTGCACAGAAATATCTTAAAGGGTAATAAAATGCATAGAATTCTCCCACCTGAGTCACAGTCAATGTTGCACTTAAATAAAGAATTTATTTTAAATGCTTTAAAAAGGTCATATATGAAGGCATATAGGGCAGGAAAAACTAAATGTATCTGCTCTTAACACACAATAAAAAACCTCACTGTCAGAGTGAGGATGGCTGCAGCTCGCGCCTGTTTAGGAGAAAACAACCCTGCATTACTAACTTAGCTGCTGCTGCTGCGTTGTCATGGCAACGGCCACAGCCACGTGACTCCGAGCTGGTCATGAGCCGCGGACATCCTCCAACTCGATCTGTCCCCTCTGCTTTCCCCACATGCTCTCACGTTCCAATCTGATTCCCCGTGTCCCTGCCGGTTAACCCACTCGCAGAGAGGAGGCAGCGAGCGCTTGGCAAGAATCGAGCCTCCAGTTTAAAACTCCCATATGCCATACAGAGCTTCAGCTGCACATGGAAAAGACTGTGTGTGTGTGTGTGTGTGTGTGTGTGTTCAAATGCAAAGAAGATTTCAGCTTGAAAAAAAAAAAAAAAAAACAGCATGGGGCCGACAGCTGAAAGCCTTGAGTCGGATTCAGTACCTTCCCATGTTTGTGTCGAATAAGTCAAAATAAATGAAGTATGTTATTTCACTTTTTAAATCACTCCTCCCTGACCTCCATAGAAAACATAAAGACACCAATGAAGGAAGTAAAACAGAAACAAAGTGAGCTGGCACAAGTCTCCATGCAGGGTTAGCTGACGGTCTGTGTCTCACTTTAAACTCATGATCACTTCATAAAGATTACTCTTCTGACTTTACAGAATAATCTGGTCATTTGTCCGCACATACACTCTAATACTGCAGTCGTATTGTTATGTTTCGTACTCCAGCAGTACAAAACCCAAAGATGTTCACTTTTATACCAACGGAGATCTGCAAATGTGGGCAGCTGGAACTACAGAACGTTTGTTATGTTTGCTTTAAGAAGGGACTTAATGATCACTGGATTATTAAAAGAGCTGATTATTCATCTGTCATGAGACTAATCTGTTAATATACTGATGCTTTAAGCTGTTTTAGAAAATGTCCTGAGGTTGAGCTGGGGGTAGTTAGCGTTAAGACCAAAATCTTCTTTGACAGTGAACACAAACTCTGATGATTCTCTGCAGTTATTAAGATACTGTTATTGTTTTGATGTAAATTGTAGGTTATCAGGATACCAGGATGTTAAAACCCGGAGTATAAGACGCCCTTTTAATACATATTTTTCCCTCTAAAAAGTTGGCTGCTTCATATACACCAGTATAAAACACAGACACAAGCATCGTCATTACCACGAGTTCAGCGGCCGCCACCATCAAACACAAAATGCATCCCCATCCATTGTTTTTGCGAGCTGATTGCACGCTGTGCTGGGACAGATAGCGACACAGAGCAGGCTGGCTGCACGACTTTTTGACATCTTTTCTCCCTCCCTCGTGCATTGACAGAAAGCAGTGGCATATTTTTCAGAAAATAGAACGTGTGGAGTGCTCTTTTGATTGAAAGAAGTGTGTTTTTGATTCTATTTTTATAGTATTATTTTCAATGGTTTTACAGTTTAAGACCTATAATCCATTAACGGTATTAAAGAGTGTTTCTATGGAGACGTCTGATTAAGATGCTGGTCATTTCATCGCACCGTCCTCGCTCTAACCTTCACTTCTCCTCTCTCTCTCTCTCTTGTCACTTCTCCACTGTCCTTATTAATCAAACTCAGAAGTGCTTTTCAAACTAATGAGAGGAAAAAGATCTGAGGGGCTGCTGCAGAAGTAAGGTACGTGCAGAGTTCATATTATGCACCAAGAAAACCATAATTATCCAAAAAATGATCTCAAGTGTCGTCGAATGATCCGGGCCTTTATTACGTTGGGTCATCACATCAAAGTAAAAAGCTTATTTAGTAGAAATGATCAGTTCCACCTGGAAGCGGCTGTGTTTGCTCACCAATGAGAATAATCTCCTCCCTCTTTGGACTTGAATGTCTGTGTGTGCTTTTTAAGAGAAAACATGCTGTCGCTTGGATTCTGTTTTATTCAAAAGTGCCAAGTTTCAGCAGGGAAGGCTTGTTTACAACCATCTATTACACAATAACAGACGCTCCTGTACCTGCTGGGAGAGCCCAGTCTGACTCGCTCATTAAGGGGGAAGTGCACACGCAGGACGCGCCGTCTTTCTGTGTCGGAGGAATTGATTGTTGACTGGATTATAACCACTGGCCTTGAGAATTATAGAGGATGTGCTCTGCATGAAGTTCACCCCCACCCACCCCACCCACCCCCCACAACCCCTCTCCACTACAATATGACAACAAACCAATCACATGCTACATCATCTGCTTTCATCTGGAGTAAGAAGTAGGTCGCCCTTGATCAGGAGAATCACCATACATCTGCAGGTTCAGCTGCTACATGCATTACACCACCAAGCCGGGTGCAGGAGTGCAAAGCTGTCTCAGGGGATTTCAGCTCAGGGGGTTTGTATTTTATTTGGCACCACATGACGTTTATGCTCTATGAAAACTGATTTTTTTTTTTGTTCTTGTATGGAACTGAAAGAAATAAAATGACACAGATGTTTCACTTAAAAGTTGTTCAGATACCAGAATTTATACCGACAAATGCAGACGCAGGTATCTGCTATATTACACCAAGTCTATGCAGGAACAAATCGACTGGTTCCCATGAAAAGATCCATTTCAGCCACAAGAGATGACTTCAGATTTGTTGCCACACGTTACTGCTGTTCAAGGGGCAAAGAAGACCCCATTACTGTTCATGTTATCATGTCAAGAGGAGCGAAACACCACAGAGCACTGCTGGAGGAAAAAGTCTAAATACTCAGAGCTGTTGGTGCTCAGCTAGTTTTAAGGCACAGATTTCTTCAGTGTTTATGTTTATCACAATTTTAACAACTGAATGTTTATTTATAAATTTTGTTAATATATTTATTTCTCTGTGCATTTTTTTATGTATATTTTCAGACTTACAAGATAAGATAAGATAATCCTTTATTTATCCCACAATAGGGAAATTTACAGTGTTACAGCAGCAATGAGCAAAGATTGCAAACAAAAAGTGAACACAGTAAACAATTAAAATAAAAAAAATATTATAAATTAAGAATGTACAAAAAAATAGATACTAAAAAATAGATTTAAATAATAATAATAATAATAATAATAAATAGATAAAAAATAAATCCTTTACTTTGAAGATAGGACAGCAGATAGAGCCAGAAATCAGGGAGAGAGAGAGAGTGGGAGGGGAATGTCATGCTGGACAGAAGCCACAGGTCGGACCCGTGCCCGGGCGACCATATTCGCCCTCCACCCCGGATTGATAAAGTATTTCTGATTTCAGGTAAAGGTGTCTCTAGAACAGGTTTATACTGTAGGTACATCTCCAGTTTTACTACCACTGTGTACTAAAAATATGAAACTGTCTGCCCTCTGACCTTTGACCTGCCCTCTGTTATGAAGGTAAGAGTAGCTTTCTTCTGTACATTTTAATCTTTTGGCTATGCTCTCATTTAGAAATGCTTTCTCTTGTAATTAATCTGTCTTTGTTTTTATCTCTCTCACCTCTTTTGTATTTGCTTTGACCTCTTCTTGTATCTTTTATCTGCTCTCATCATCTTAATTCGTTGGTCCTGTTGCTCTCAGTTCATATCGTTGGGTTCTTGTGTTGCCTTTCTCTTCTCATGATGGCTGGTCGGGTTAAATATGTTTGTTAAGTATTTTGTTGTAGGCTATGGTAGGGCTGGGAAATATATCGAGTTTTTAAGATATATCGATATATTTTCAAACAAGATAAAGAGTAAGACGATATCATTAATATGGATTTAGTTTATGTTCCATTAAAATAACGTTACAGAGGTGCCAGGTCTCCTTCTTCTCATCTCACTGATGATGACTGACTGTCTGCTCCTCCTCTCTCTCTCTTTTATTGGATTTAAAGAACATTTGTATTTTTGTAATATTACTTTTTAAATTCACAAACAGGTAGTTTATTTTTCATGTGTTTTCACTTTTAATAAAATAAATATTGATATATATCGAGTATCGCCATTCAGATAAACAATATGAAGATATGAGTTTCGGTCCATACCGTCCAGTCCTAGGCTACAGGTTCTTCTGTGTGCTGTATTTCTAATCACTTCGCAATGCTGCTGTGTTTTAAAAGGTGCTCTAAGAATAAAGTTATTATTATTATTCAGTCAGCTGTTTGTATAAAGTTAAAGTGAGTAGCTCATTCTGAGTGTGCAGCTGAGCCTCTGCTAAAGGGGGGCTGCTCAGATAAACACACAAACAGACCTCGACATGCAGCTCGTCAGCTCAGGTGAACTACATACCCCATGTTTGCAGGATTCGGTTGTGAGTCGACAGTGATCCTTCTCGGTGGTCTCTGGAGGCTAGCTCTGCAGCTTTCTGATCCAGGTGCTGTCCTCAGTCCGACATGCTGTTGAGGTGGTTATGCCCTTGGGTACATGTTTTTTTGCAGAATAGGAGGAGGAGGGAGGAAGAGGAGGGGTGGTGTTGTTGGTTTCACCCGAGTAAACGTGTCAGAGCATGCATGATGAGAGACGAGAGTGCTAACGGTTGGGAAGCTAACCGTTAGCAGCTAACTCAAACTCCTGTTACGATGCTAAGCTCGGGAAGCTGTGATTTAATACTGAATTAACCGTTTTAAGTTTCCCACAAACAAAGTTCAAAAGTCAAAAAGACCAACTGTAGATGGTACTTTTCCTCCTCCGGTAGAGACAAAAAAAACAACTTAATATTCAGCCTTCAATCAGTTTTCAAACGCTGGCTCTTCCTCGCCGTCCACTCTGCCATCAAAGCCGTCCAGCAGAGCCTTTTAACGGCTGTAAACGAGACGGGTCACCGCCGCTTCGTGGTGATGAAGACGGGAGACATCTTCTTCTGTCAGGCTGCAGCTTCATGTCTGTGTTTTAGTTTGAAGAAAAGACAGAAAAACACTTCATCCTCCTGCTTTTATCCTCCTGCAGGATCACACGATGTGAAGTAACTCCCTGACAAAACAATCTGTCATTCACGGTTTTCCTTTTTTACATGTTACGTCAATCAGCCGTTAAACCGGGATTCAAACGATGTAAAGAAATAAAATAATAAAAAGATGCTGCTGCTCCATCGGCCGGTTTATCCTCATTCATTAACTCTGCTCCATCCTCCGCTGCTGCTCTGCAGGGAGCTTTAATGTCGCTACGTCATCACGTCAACTCTGGAATTTTGACGTAATTGGCAATAAAGTGTTTCCTCACATCCGGTATTGGTTATATTAAAAGCAGATTCTGTAAATGTTAAGATTAAAGTGGGGGTATTTTGGACAGCTAAACATAAAAAATGTGTGTATTTAGGATGGTGTGCCTCGTGTGCAGTATTGTAAAAAATAATTTAATTTTATACTAAACTCACCTGTTTACAGCCTTTCATTAAACAGCTTTAATAAGATTTTAACTCTGCACTGAAACTTTTAACTCTTTTTATATTTTTAGTTTTTTTATTTAAATTAATTTCATTTGAATTATTTTTATTTGAACATATGTTCAGATTTAATAATTTCAGTGATTTTTAAATGTTCTATTTTAATATTTCTTTTCTTTCCTCTGTCAGGATGCTTTTCATGTCTTGTGTGAAGTACTTTGAATTACCTTGTTGAAATGTGCCACAGAAATAAACTTGCCTTGCCTAGGCAGCATTATCCTAGTTTTCAAATATTTCAGCTTTTAAAATATTCCTGCTCTAAATCTTTCACTTCAAGTTACAAAAGGAGAAGTAAAAAAGAAATGTGATGTATCCTAGGTTTATAAGTCATTATGGAGGAAAAACCACATTAACATGACTTCAACCTAATTTATTTCACAGTGTTTGAGTCACAGCTTCTGTATTTCATGTCAATACTTTCATTCTGACTCTACAAAATACAGACAGAAGTTAATGACAATGATGAACATACAGGCACATTTGATATGCTACTTTTGATTGCCATCTTGTGGACACTTACTGAATCTGTTTTCACACGTGCACACCTGAGCATTTCTAGAAATATTAGAGGAGCTCTGCCCTAGACATTTTCCTGTGTTGCTGGTTCACTCACACTCAAAACGTCTTCACTGCCGGAAAAGGGAGAGATGTAGTGGTATAGGGGAACATTTTCTGAAGGGGCTGGCAGGAAAATTGTGGCTGTTTGCATCACATGCAGCTCACATTGGGAGACTATCCCTACCGGAAGGGTATAGGGTGGAAGGGGTCTCAACTTGGAATTGGCGGACAAAGCAACAGAGTTCACTGACAGGGGTTCCCACATCTCACCTGTTTACTCTATTAAAGGTGACACACCCCTTTTTCTACCTGTCTAAATGAAACGCCTTTACCGTGCTTTGGTCAAAATCTAAAATGGATCAGGCACCAGAGGAGGTTTTTGGACTCTCAAACCCCCCCACTACAGACCATCAGATTTCCTGTTTTCAGATATAGGTGGACAATAAACAAAGGTCTAGGTTGGCTTCTTTCTTATTTTGTAAGTCGTTAGATTCTCCAGATACCCCTTATATATGCGCCAAAACTTATATCAATGTTTTTAATAATTGATAATAATTAGATCCACATGTGGTAAAATCTTTCCTTTAGGACTTCATCGAGTGGGTGGGTCAGGTTTATCACTTTAATTGATTCAATGTATTATAACAGTTGGTTAACATGACCATGCATTGGGTAAATTAGTGATTAACAGCGTAGACATGAGGACAATGTTTGCCCGGAGACAACCTGTCGACCACATGCTTAACCCTCCCGAGCTCCTCCAGTCTTTCGTTTCCCGTGTAGTATCCCTGTGACACTGTGAGACAGACATAAACAGGTGCAAGGATGACATTTTCCCTGAAGCGTGGGGAGATACATTTTTTTTTAAAAAGACCCTGATTTTTAAATACAACATGCTTAAAATGAAAACAACACATTAGTCTATAAATAGGACTTTGGCTATTAGTGTCAACTCAGGACATGTGCAGTTTATCTAGGTTGTTTTTCCTCACCTGGCAAGAGTTATGCTTGTTTCACTTCTTAAATCATTTTTCTCCCACTAAAAACCAAACCAAACACTTGATTTAGCCTCCGACAGGCCTAAAGGAAAGACTCATGACACAGGATACATGCTGCAAGTAGAATCTTATATTTAGACTGGTGAGGAAAAAGCAGGAGCGTTTACGTCATGCAGCTGCATTTTTAACAAAATTGAACACAAGCTGCAGCTAATGAAGCCTGACCAACTTATTTATCATGTTAAGTGCAAGAGTTCATCCAGTGTGAACACAACAAAATCACCTCCCTGCATGTTGCAAATGCTTCACATGAAACACTGGAAGACCAGTTTTCTATTTCAAGATTACGCTGAGCATGAAAACTCAACTACTGCACGCCTGCTTAGAATGTGAACAACAGAGCAGTGCTGAGCTGCGGCGAGACGCTAAAGCACATTTAAAGATATATATCACAAAAAATGGATCCTTTGACGGAGGATTTGACCAGGGCTGATGTGGACGCTGAGATGACAGTGTTGACGCCCGATGAATTCACTGAGCAAATCCTTGAGGGCGGTGATGAAGTGGAGCATCTTCGTAACAGGTTAGAATCAGTTGCAGTTCTTTCATTCTGAAAGTTTGACTGCAGCTCCAAGTCAAAGTCAGATGTTTTGTCAGTAGGATGTCCATCTGGTTGTTTAAAGTCTGTTTTATCATTCTAAACAAATATAGATAGTCAGAGGCAGCGTTTAATTATACCATAATAAACAGGATCTATTCCATTATGAATTAATGAGGGGAATTCCATCAGTGCCACTAGACGATGTCTGTGTGTTTTAAAGTATGTTTGGCTGCATGAGCGGGGATATATGCACTCAGTCGCAGGTCTGTTACATAGAGTAGACTATACCCTTCATGGTGCTATTGGCTTTTGTTCAAACTTTTCAAACACTCCTGAATATGTATAGAACATTTCAGACAGGCTGTCCCTGAAATCCTCCTGATCAGGCTGTGCACACATGAACCTCACAGCGGTGGACTTTCCCTGTCGGACAGGGGTGGTGGGTCTCAGGAGGAAGTACATGAGGTTAAAAGGACGCAGATGAAGCAACAAAGTCCCCTTTATGACAATGCGATATTTCCATTTTTTGCAAATTTACTTGCTCCTGCAAAGTCATTGAGAAAAATAAGGCCTCAAAATACGCAACTTTCAACACAACTTTGAAAAAGCTGACGCAAAATCAGGCATTTTAGGTCGCAATATCCTGGAGGGACTGCTTTATATCAATGTTATGTAAAGTCTGTCACGATCAAAATATCAACAAAGACGCGTAAAGGCAATTCAGGCAAACAGAAAACATAATGAAGCATTATGTGCATGGAGATTGTACTGGTCGCATGTATGCAGTCTACGGTCATGCTACATTTGCAGGACTTAGACGTCACCAACCCCTCTTGTGAAGCGTGCAGCATATTTCTGTGAAATGTACCTGCTGCATGCTCACACCAGCTCACTTAGACTTGACGGTAGGAAAAAGTCTGGGAAAGAGTCCAGTAGTGATTGTTTGCATTCACACGAGGCTGTTTCCAGGAGTTTTGTGCAAGTGTGAAAGCACAAAATGTGCCGATAAAGACGTTCAGTCAACAGACCAAAAATCGTGTTTTGAACCAGGCTGTAAACATGTTTATTTTTACTGCTGAAATTTACATACTATAGGTGTGTATGGGAATTTGGGTCTTTTGCAGCCAGCCTCAAGTGGACACTCAAAGAACTGCAGTTGGTGGCTTCATTTTTCAACACGTGAAGTTGCTGCTTGGTCAGCACAGGGGAGATATCAGTAGCCAGATCTTGCAAGAAAAAGACATCAGTTGCCGTATCTTTCAAGGGTGTACTGCTCAAACAACTCTAAAGAAAAATTATTGTTTTCCTGATTTTACTTTCTTTAGAAGTGCCTCTTAACTTCCTGACTATTCAGAAGATCTGTGTCAAAGGTGTGTTTAGTGTACTTTGGTGAAAATAAGGCAAAAATAATGAGTCATATTATGTGATGTTTACATTGACTTCATCCAAGGTATTTGGTTGAATACACTCAAGAAATGCTGCTTGCCTTCTCTAGGGGCTGTGCAGTGGCAAAACAACCCATGTGATACAAATAAAGGAAATGACTTTCAGTCTCCTCTCTGAACCGTCGCTCATTAACACACTTATCTCTCTGTTGCTGTGCCTTCAGTTTACGTGAGGCCGTCCATGACGACAACGTACGGCCAAAGATGCAGTGCCTGATGATGGACTCCTCCTTCTCCATGGTGACGATGCAAGGGGAGGACAGTGGGATCGCATGGGAGACCACCCCTAGTCGCTGCAACACACCATGGGCATCTGAAACAGGAAACCCCACCGTGGATCCCATCGCTCCAGTTGCAGTACGTCCTGCAACACCTGGATCTGTCCCAGCAGGAAAGATTATCTTTGTCATGGACGAGGAACTGATGTCAAGACGGAAGAAGACTAAAGAGAGGAGGAACGGCCAGAGGAGCAAAGCAGACAAGCAACGACAAGTCCTGGTGGAAAGTTCTGAGAATATTTCAGGAAGGCCAGAGCTGGTGGAAGTCTCACAGCCAAATGTAAAAGCTGAAGGAGAAGGAGATGAAGAGGAACTCAGTGACCCTCCGGAAGATAAGGAGCAACGGCTGTTCCGCTTAGTGTCAGAGGGCTCCGAAATCCTCAACATAGTTGTTCCTCCAAAACTGGCTACGGTGGACGAAGAGGAGAGCAAAGAAATGGAGGACAACCTTTCGTATTTGGAGGACAGCCTTGTTCCTAAAGCCAGCGAAGACATCCATGATTACGAGCTGCTGATGTCAACAACAGAATCAGATGCGGCAAGAGCCATAGAGGTCAGGCCTTTTACTTCTATAGGCCCTAATGTAATGGATCCACCAGGGGCTCCAGTGGCTAGACCTCCCGGTGTAGGAGCAACTGGCAATTTGGACTACTTTGAGGCGTTCACCATGATTGACGCCCAGGCTCCAGGAAGTCCTGCTGTTGTCGCACAAGTACAGTCGGAGCAAGAGGCAGAGGGTACAACGGAGAGCCAGGAAGCAGAGAAACCTGTGCCACCAAATGACAACACTACTACAATGACAACAGCAACTGTGGATAATGAGAAGTCAGACACAATCAGCCTTGAGGAAATCACAAGTGAGCTTCTTGATGATGTCTTCTACGGTGGCACAGAGGACTACGTCATGAAAGGTCTGAACAGAGACGACGCGGGCTCTGCAGGCATGCGCTCCAGGCACCCTTCAAAACCGAGCGGTTCCAATTTGTTTGGAAGCCAAGAGGAAATCCTGACTCCAATCTTCCTTCCAGAGGGACCTCGTAAGATTATCGACCAAATTTTGCTGGAAGAGCCCAAAGCCATGGCCTTCCTCTACACTGATCTATACGAGGAAGCTATTGGCAGTCGAAAGAAAGAAGAAGACACAGAGAGTATGACCTCTGAGAAATCCTTTCACAGCCGGCACTCAGACCGGGAGGCGAGAGGATATTTAGAGAAATATGTCCTTATCGATGAGACTCCAGCAGTAGAAGTGGAACCAGCTGATAAAGAAGAATGCAGACAGGAAGGTCCTAGGACTTTGTCTGATGATGTGTATGATACTGGCGATATGACATCCAAGCCAGAAAAGGGTGAAATATCAAATTCAGAGGAGGAAATCACCGATTTCTTCAGGTCCAGTGCCAATTCTTCTCCATGTGATATAGAGCCTTTCCCTCGATCACTCGAAGAGGAAGAAACCGAACCAGTCAAAAGAAAGAGCAAAGAAAAGACGACCAAGAGTGTCGCCATCAAGGTTGAAAAAGTTGCAGAAATCCCAGTAGATCCACTCAGCATTTCAAGCTTTGACTTTCCTTCAGATGAACCGGACTGGGAAAGCCTGGATGATCATCATACAGGTCTGGAAGAGAAAGATGTTACAGAGCAGGACGTGTGGAAACCAGATTCAGAAGAGCAGCCAGTTGCTCCTCCCAGGAGAAGGGCACCTTCTGCTCCAAAGACATGTCTGGACCTCACACCTCTTACTCCAGTAGACATTATTCAGGAAAGAGAAGAAGCTGGTGAAAAGGAGCAGAGGGTGGAAGAGAAAGAGACAGCATCACCGGCAGAGACTGCAGATGAGGGAGATGGGGATGCGGAGGAAACAACACCGCCCTCCAATAATGCCGCTCTACGCGAGGACACGATGGCTGAAGTCGACACTGTGTCCCCACAAAGTGTGGAGGATAGCAATGAAATAACTTTCGGAGACACTGAACCAGCTGCAGCTGGGCACAAAGACATTGAAACAGCCAAAGAAGAAGCTACAGAAACTGAAGAGGTAGATATTAAGCCAGCAGAGTTGACTGGAACAGAGGTTCAACCAGGGCAGAACGGAGACGATTCAACTGTCCCTGCAGCTGAGCCAGCTAAAGAAAAAGGGCAGTGTGTAATACTTTAAGCACACTACAAATTCAAACAGGTTTCGAGTCAAGTCAGGGTCTGAAACCATAGTAGATGAGGCCTACAATCAGATAGTTCATCAAAGCATAAAAAAAATCAAAGTGCAAAATATTGCAGAGCTTGGTCTACTTTTTGAAACTTATTCCCAACCTTAGTCTTAATGCATGAGTTTAAACATCGAATGGTTTGGTTGAATATCCAGGGTGGATATTTTTGTCTGTGCATGAATCATAGTGTGTTTGAAGGAAGACGTTTGGGTCAGGAGTGTGCGTAGAAGAGGTGTGAGAGCATGTGTTGGTGTTGTCGTGGCGTTAGGGTGGATCTTCAGCTATAAATAAGACTCCTGAATGTTAACTTGACACCTCGTCTCCACCAGGAGTCGGGTCGCCCTCTTCTTGTAAACACTGAAAATGGTGTGTAATAAATGTAAACATGTGCAAAATATCTTTTTGGACACATGACCTATACCTTCGTTTAATACTGACTGAACTATTATAAACGCTGAATTAAAACATTTTAACTATGTGTTTGTTTCTGCATTATCTACACTTTGTACACAAGACAAACACCAGTTTATGACCCTAGTCTATAGATTATTTTTAAGCCAATCAAATGGGGCTGTTTGGATCATGAAGGACTTTTACATGTTGCTTTTAAAGCAGCTTTATGTCAGGCAGTATTTACAGATTTTATAGCCTCTGGGCTCGAATCCAAGGGTCCCATCTGAAGCTCAGCAGTTGCTCAACCCCCTCTGACCTTGGGGAGTGGAATATAAACCAACTCCCAGATATTAACACATGCAAGAACAAATGTGGAATTCATCAAATATTAAAATGGTAGAGGGATTAATCTGTATTTTAGTTTTTGCAAAGAATGTAGATGTTTTTAAATGCTTCCTGTGCATCCTGTTAGATTTGGTTTAATCTGTCTTTATGGGCTTTGGTGACATCCAGTGTTAGAAACCAGCATTTTCCGGCTCTCTCATTTTTAACCCCTAAATGGTTTCTGTATCCTGGGTGATATGGACATTTGACAGGCTGTGGGGTGGAGGGGCGCTAAGTAGGTGCACTTAACATCATGAAAACCACTGAAGGGAAGGTTGGGTCAAGTATTCAGGTCAGGTGGCCATATGTGGGGACAAAGACACTGACCATGACTAGGTGTTGTTATTTATCATGTTTATTATGGTTTGGGTGTAGTTTGTTTTTTTAAATATTTTTAAAATAATATTTTATGATTTATTGTTGAAGAATGATGACCTGGATCTTCACAAACCAGAGTTTGGTGGACAGACCGCCATCATTTTTCAGAAGTGCAAAATGAGGCTTTGCATCAACAATCAAAATGATAACTGATCGCAAAATGCTCATAAATGGCCCCTACAGGGATTGTTGAATAAAAACTGTTTTACTCGCTTCACAGGCTGTAAACAGGCTTTTTTGAATGGGTGTGTATGTGACTTCCTGTACTTCTGCAGCCAGCCTCTAGTGGACACTCGAAGAACTGCAGGATTTTGCACTTCATTAGCTTCATTTTTCAACACCAGAGGTTGCCACTTGATATTTTTCCAATAAAATTAACTAGTAAGTCATCAGTTATTAAAAACATGTATGATTTAAACATAATAGAATGTCATAAATGTAATTTCTCGACACATCGCCTGATGACTGCTAACTTTGCTATTTTGCCAATCTGCTACTTTAGTGAGTAATAATAAGCTTCATGATTATAGCCGTATGATATTTAAAAAAAAAAAAATTTTTTGTAAATTTTATTTCATTCAAACAAACAACAAAGTTAAGAAAAACAAACAAACATAAAATCTCAAATTTTGAATGAAAAGAGTGAAACTGAACATCAACTCTAGAAGTTGAGTCTAATGTTGCAAATAATTGAATTTAATTATTATCGACCAACCTTCGGCTAGTTACCGCCTTAGTTACCGGGTCTTACTATTCGGCGCTGCTGCCTTCCAGTGCTCCTCGGAAATATCGGATTTATTGTATTTACGAGTTTTTAGCACATGAACCGCCCTCGAAATTCGTAATTGTGAGTCGGAAATTTCGACTATACCCGATTTGTGACGTTCGTGTGACGTTTCAGGGCAGCAAAGAAAGGGGAAAAGCTTGAAAACAGTGTCAATAATTGGCTTCAAAAATATAATTATTTCGTTATTATGTTCATAGTAGCCAACAGTATTTTAATAGTTGTTCATGTGAGCATATGAATCTATTAACTGTAGCAAACAAGCCAACTTTCATTGTTGTTTTTACTAGAGCACTCGAAAGCGTGTCTGTATTGTCGTCACTTCGACTGTACTTCTAAGAATTACGATGTTTCCGAGGAGCATGTGAAGGCAGCGGTGTGAGTTAGCTTCGAGCTAACTTCGCGATGGACAATGTGCCCGGTTTCTGCTCCTCAGACACCTTTGAAGAAAACGGAGAGGAATCCTGCGGTGGCTCCTCAGTGGAAGACGGATTTGTAGACGCTTTCGGTGACCTGGCTGCCCTCCCGGTCGAGGTCGGTGAGAGAAGACCGACGTGTTTGCGGTGCCGGTGAGCTGACTTTAAGTGAAGCTAATGCTAGCTAGCCAAGTTATAGTGGTTGGAGCAGACAGGGACGAAAACCCTTCAACCCACCCCTCTCCTTCCTCCTCCTCCTCCTCCTCCTCCTCCTCACGTTACTGGCATGCTTTAATGAGGGAACAGATTAATGTCGCCTCAGAAAAGATGAAAACCATCAGAAACAGAGAGATGATGGGGGCATTTACTGAGCAATCACAGCTTCACGTCTTCCAACTTTCCTCCCATGTAGTCGCCCTCAGAAGGTGTGTCTCTGTCCTTTTCTTCCACCTCATCCCCTGGAGGTCTCCACCTGTCTGTACGTGGTGCAGCATCCTGCAGAGGTGAGTTTCACTGCACTATGACAGACTGTACCACACATGATGTCTGTCTTTAAAGCCTCTGTGAGGAGTTTCAGGTGGTTAAATACTAAATAGACTCATTTAAAAGCATACTACTATACTGTATACTATACTATACTGTATACTATACTGTATACTATACTACACTATATACTATATACTATACTACACTATACTACTATACCGTATACTATACTACACTGTATACTATACTATATACTGTATACTATACTACTATACTATATACTATACTACACTATACTACTATACCGTATACTATACTATATACTGTATACTATACTGTACTATATACTATACTGTATACTATACTGTATACTATACTATACTATATACTATACTGTATACTATACTACACTATATACTATACTGTATACTATACTACACTATATACTGTACTGTATACTATACTACACTATATACTATACTGTATACTATACTACACTATATACTATACTGTATACTATACTACACTATATACTGTACTGTATACTATACTACACAATATACTATACTGTATACTATACTACACTATATACTATACTGTATACTATACTATACTATATACTGTATACTATACTACACTATATACTATACTGTATACTATACTACACTATATACTATACTGTATACTATACTATATACTGTATACTATACTACACTATATACTATACTGTATACTATACTACACTATATACTGTACTGTATACTATGCTACACTATATACTATACTGTATACTATACTACACTATATACTATACTGTATACTATACTATACTATATACTGTATACTATACTACACTATATACTATACTTTATACTATACTACACTATATACTGTACTGTATACTATACTACACTATATACTATACTGTATACTATACTATATACTGTATACTATACTACACTATATACTATACTGTATACTATACTACACTATATACTGTACTGTATACTATACTACACTATATACTATACTGTATACTATACTACACTATATACTATACTATATACTATACTGTATACTATATACTATACTATATACTATACTACACTATATTCTATACTGTATACTATACTACACTGTATACTATACTACACTATATACTACACTGTATACTATACTACACTATATACTATACTGTATACTATATACTATACTGTATACTATACTACACTATATACTATACTATATACTATACTATACTGTATACTATACTACACTATATACTATACACTATACTACATACTATATACTATACTGTATACTATACTGTATACTATACTACACTATATACTATACTGCATACTATACTACACTATATACTATACTACACTATATACTATACTATATACTATACCACACTATATACTATACTGTATACTATACTACACTATATACCACACTGTATACTATACTACACTATATACCACACTGTATACTATACTACACTATATACTATACTACACTATATACTATACTATATACTATCCTGTATACTATACTATACTGTATACTATACTACACTATATACTATACTGTATACTATACTACACTATATACTATACTGTATACTATACTACACTATATACTATACTGTATACTATACTGTATACTATACTACACTATATACTATACTACACTATATACCATACTATATACTATACTACACTATATACCATACTACACTATATACTATACTACACTATACTACACTATATACCATACTACACTATACTACACTATATACTACACTATACTACACTATATACTATACTACACTATATTACACCATATACTATACTACACCATATACTATATTACACTATATACTATACTATATACTATACTACACTATATACTATACTGTATACTATACTACACTATATACTATACTATATACTATACTACACTATATACTATACTATATTAAACTATACTATATACTATACTACACTATATACTATACTATATTAAACTATACTATATACTATACTACACTATAAACTATACTATATTATACTATTCTATATACTATACTACACTATATACTATACTATACTATATTATGCTATATACTATACTACACTATATACTATACTATTTACTATATACTATACACTACACTATATACTATACCATACTATACTATATTATACTATACACTATACTACACTATATACTATACCATACTATATACTATACTATATACTATACTATTCTATATACCATACTACACTATATACTATACCATACTATATACTATACCACACTATATACTATACTACGCAATATACTATACTATATACTATACTACACTATATACTATACCATACTATCTAATATACTATACTATATACTATACTATATTATACTATATACAATACTATATAACTATAATATTAACTATACTATATATTATACTATACTACTATACTACTATACTATACTACGCTATATACTACACTACTATACTATGCTATGCTATATATTGTACTATATACTATACTATGCTATATACCATATACTATGCTATACTATGCTATACTATATACTATACTGTATACTATACTATACTGTATACTACTATACACTATATACTATACTCTATGCTATACTATACTATATACTATACTACTATACTAAGAGAAAACAAAGAAGATTAAAACCGTGGTTAGAAAAAAATATACAGAAAGTGTTCAAATTTGATTAATTTATCAAAGTGTTATTATGATTGTGGTTTTTTTTGTTTTTTTTTTGCCTTTTTTTTAAATTGTTGTTGTTGTTGTTGTGTGTGAATGTTTTTGTTTATTTAATTTTTTTGTCTATTTTTTTTCTTTCTTTCATCATTAGCTCAGTATTTTTAGTATTATTATTGTTATTTATTTTTTTATTTTTTTAAGATTTGTTTTGGGCTTTTCGTGCCTTTAATGCAGAGAGAGGACAGTGGATAGAGTCAGAAACCAGGGAGAGAGAGAGGACAGTGGATAGAGTCAGAGACCAGGGAGAGAGAGAGGACAGTGGATAGAGTCAGAAACCAGAGAGAGAGGACAGTGGATAGAGTCAGAAACCAGAGAGAGAGAGAGGACAGTGGATAGAGTCGGAAACCAGGGAGAGAGAGAGGACAGTGGATAGAGTCGGAAACCAGGGAGAGAGAGAGGACAGTGGATAGAGTCAGAAACCAGAGAGAGAGAGGACAGTGGATAGAGTCAGAAACCAGAGAGAGAGAGGACAGTGGATAGAGTCAGAAACCAGAGAGAGAGAGAGGACAGTGGATAGAGTCAGAAACCAGAGAGAGAGAGGACAGTGGATAGAGTCTGAAACCAGAGAGAGAGAGAGGACAGTGGATAGAGTCAGAAACCAGAGAGAGAGGACAGTGGATAGAGTCAGAAACCAGAGAGAGAGAGGACAGTGGATAGAGTCTGAAACCAGAGAGAGAGAGAGGACAGTGGATAGAGTCAGAAACCAGAGAGAGAGAGAGGACAGTGGATAGAGTCTGAAACCAGAGAGAGAGAGAGGACAGTGGATAGAGTCAGAAACCAGAGAGAGAGAGAGGACAGTGGATAGAGTCAGAAACCAGAGAGAGAGAGAGGACAGTGGATAGAGTCAGAAACCAGAGAGAGAGAGGACAGTGGATAGAGTCTGAAACCAGGGAGAGAGAGGACAGTGGATAGAGTCAGAGAGAGAGCGGGGAATGACATGTGGAAAGGGGCCACGGGTAGAAGCGAACGCGGGCCTACCGCTCGAGACGAGAGTCTCAATACATGGGACGCGTGCCCTAACCATTGCGCCACCAGCGCGCCCCAATTATTATTATTATTATTATAATTATTCTTGTCTCTACATGAATTTGATGACATCTAGATGTTGCTCTGCTCAGGACAGGGGGGGAATGTGAACGTCAGTACGGTGCTGTTGTAAGATGGGTTAAAGATATATGTTGCTGCTGGTACTGTCTTATCTGCATGGTGTCTATTGTTTGGGGTAAAATGAATTAAAATAAAATAATTGACAAAAGAAAGTTAAAATATTGCAGTTAAACTCTACTATCTATTATTCTACATACTGTACCAAACACTAAAAATGAAAATACCTTTGTATCGACGTATTCTAACTCGAGGTGTTCTTTCAGGAGAGCAGGGTTCTTCGCACGGTGCCTCTACTCGCCGCTTGTTTGCCGACAGGAAAATGCAAAGTCATAGTCGGACGAAGGTTTAATGAAGAAAAGTAAGCAGTTTTTTTGTTGTTGTTTGCAAACTGATTTCACAAAATACAACCACAGCCGCCTCTGATTATTAATATACATATATATATGTATTTACTTCTCTCCTCGCAGGAACCCGGAGCTCGCTGCCGTCTGTCGAGACAGCAGAACGCTGATCCTGTATCCCGGCCCCAAATCCCAGAACCTGGAGGAGATCGTGCAAAACCAGGAAGATGGAAGTGTGAAGCATAATGTGATCATCATAGACGGCACGTGGAGCCAGGCCAAAAACATGTTCCTCAAAAACAGCCTCTTCCACCTGCCCAAACAGGTGTGTATGTCTGACTTTCTGCAGAATAAACACGAGGAGGCTGGAGGAGAGACTTTTCTTGTGTGTGTGTGTGTTCTCACATGCAGCTGCAGGTGTGAAAGCACGATAAAAGAGGGGGGAGGTTAGGTTCAAACTGACAGAGCTCACAGAATTTGAGCCACTTGCAGTCGCCCGAGCCATTTTTATGATTTTAAAAATGTTGTTCCTTTAGCAGCCTAAATCACTAAATCTTCCTGGGACTGAAAAAAGTTCCCCCCCTTCCCCCCTCGTCCACCAGAGACAATATAAATTCTCCCGTTACACCCACTGGTGGAAAAAGCAGCTTCACCCACATGAAATGACTAACTGAAATCAAAGCAATGTATAAAAAAAAAAAAAAAAAAAGGAAGATGTGGGCAAGTGAGCACTGAGGAGTCGTCATCATTTCTTCCACTACCTCTCCTCTCGGTTTTCCCCCAAAGTGTTTGTCTAAATGAAGCTATTGAGCCGCTCAGTTTGGAAGAAACTGCATTTTGGAAGAGACCCTCTCTCGTTAAAATCCACTGGCAGATAAATGGATTGATAGATATAGCTTCACATCCTCCTTTTCAACAAGTTTTAAACACGCCTCAGAGAGAAGTAGAGATGCAACCACACCTGCTCGGCTGATCACCTGTGGTTTTTGTTTTTTTTCCTATCAGGTCCAACTCAACCGGACCCTCTCCAGTCAGTACGTCATCCGCACACAACCCTCCAACATCTGTCTGTCCACGCTGGAGTGTGCTGCGGTCGCCCTGTCCATCCTCGAGCGGAACGACGACATCCAGGAGGTGAAGAGCTGAACTCATTGTGATTTATGTGTGAGCTTGTGTTGCACGGTGGTAACTGCTGACTCTAAATCGCCCGTAGGTGTGACTGGTTGGTCTGCAGTTGCCAATGAGAGCAAGCAGACCAACAGTACAGAACTTACAGTAAAGCGCCCTAAACAGCCTCAGCCAGGATTTCTCATTGCTTTTTAGTTTTTTGAACGCCACAGCTGACAGCGTTTTTTGTCTTCCAAATTAGTTTTTTATCTTTTGAGTTTCTGTGAGATCTCGTGTCTGTGGATTCGTTGCTACAAACAGCAGTCGGGGGTCGGGCCAAGTCGTCCAGCGATCGGCGTTCTGAGAATTGTAATGTTAGAAACTGTCCGCATGTCATGCATAAACGGGTTAAGATTTTAACCCGCCTTATTCTGCTTCTTTCTCCGATGCCAGTCACTTCCCTGACAGCTGTTTTTTTTTTTCCAGTCAGTGTCAATAACAACAAATACAAACGTCTCTCGTGTTTTTCCTCACTCTTCCCTTCATCATGTGTCCGTCCAGGTTCTGTTGAGGCCGCTGAAAGCTCTGTGCTCCTTCCAGCTGGAGCACGGCGCTCAGGTCCACCACAGCAAAGAGCACCTGCTGAAGAACGGCATGTACGACAAACCCATGCCCAAGAACAAACGCAAGATAAAGAGGATGGAGAAACTCGTCACTGATCACGCCGTCTGTCCGAGATGAGGCCGAGGCGGCGCAGAGAAACTGGCCTCCGCTCTACATCCGTGTACACGTCGTCTTCTCCGCTGCACGGGGACTGAATCATCGGGCAGCGTGACGCAGCGTCAAGCCGCTGGCACGGAAACCACTGGATTTTTTTTGTTTGTTTGTTTCAAGATTTTTTCTATATGCTGGTTAATTTAAGTTACTTGTAAATGAAAGTTTTAGTTTGAGTTTCATGGTGGGACTATAAACCCAGATTCTGGCCCCACGCTGTTTTAAAAACATTGTTTGCTTTTCAAACAACGCGGCGGTTCTGATGTGGGTCACGTCCTGTGGCTCCAGACGATCACATCTGGAAGGGCGGAGTCCACTGATGTCTTTACAAAAATGTGTGAAGAGATGTGTCACAATAAAATAAAAAACCTCTTAGACTGTTTGTGATATTTCATGAAACACACAAAACACAAAACATGACACCAGAAACACTCACGCCTAAACGGAGATTTGAGTAAGAGTTTAAAAAAAAAAAAGTGACAGGTGATGAGCTTACACTGATGGATTTTTGCACCCAGGTATTGAGGGAGTCACTGGGTCTATCCGAATTGAAGAACCTCTTCAATCTGTCAGTAGTCAGTACCTACTATCTGTGCTGTATACTGTTTAGTAGGCAGATATTTGTTCCTACCTCGTCTGATTCATTCAGACGATTTAATTTTTGTTTGTTTATCTTTATTCAAGAAGAGTAATGCTCATATACAGTCAGGTAAACAACAAACAATATCACAATGTAAATCAAGTAAAAGATTAAATAACTAAATAACATACAGTACATAAAGAACAAATGAAAGACAGTAATATACAGAATATAAAATAAACCAATAAAGACACATTTAAATCGTGAAATCATTATTTAAATATTGACATCATTATTTAAATAGAGGGGGAAAGGTTTTTTAATAATGCAGATATTTGTTATATTTTCTGTTGTTAATTTAAAGTAGTGATTTCAGTCGGGACTTTAACTCTAGATTAAAAATGTATTCTATTAATCTATTAATTTCGCACTGCATTGTGGGTAAAACACAATTCATTTCCTGAAAGCACGCATCTGATCCATACTGCATGAAACCAGGAAGTTAGTATCCAAACTGAAATGTTCAGTATACTGAGGAGGACCCAAAAAATGACCACGAGGGTTCAAACTACTGAAAACTACACACTGCCTACTGAACTGTGGCTTTTTGGAAAGGGCGAGGAAGGGGGGTGAGGTCAGGGGCGTGCCCAGACCCTTGGGACTGGGGTGGCCCAACTGGGGCTCTCACCTGTGC